TGAGAAACTTTGCACAAAATGTTGTTCCATGGGCTCAATAATTAAACTTGATGATTGACCAAGAATTTGATATATTCATGGGCAAAAAGGCCTTTGGGTGCTTCAAGAGCCAAATTCTATACCCAATTCTATAGGATGAGATAGGAACTACCCTACTAAACTTCTCATTTTATTTTTTTATAATAAGCCATGCAGACATATATAATCTTTGTTGTTTAGTTAGGAATGCATATCCTCATAGATGTTGATCACCATATCTAGACTCCCCCAGGTGCAACCTCAAAGACATTACACCAAAATATAACAAAGTATCATTATTTTTGTCCATGCATATCCAAATTATTAGACATTTTTGTCCAACATGCTTGTAATGAGATCTCACATTGCATAAGTTAAGAAGCAAGATGATAGTTTTTTGGCAACATATCCTTGTCGATGTGGCGATGTGTGGATTTATCTTTACCTTCTTCTTAATAACTTTACGCGTCACTGAGGACTATGTAATTAACTTGAATATAAGTGTTTAAGGCAACAACTTGAGTCCAGTCTCAGTGAGAGTTTCATGTCATTGTTTCCAAGACTTCCATGTGTTGGAAACAGTGCAGACAAGTTTCACCCCTATTAAACTCATTTCATCACATGAAACTTTTATCCTATCTCTCCTTATTAATACTATGCAACATCATCTTATTTAATGCCCATAAAACTCTAATGAAACCTCTATTATATTGAGACTGGCCTGATTGGTATGGAGCTAGGATAAAGATTCTTGAACTATTGGGAATGGTTATGTCAATTAATTTATCTCATCATATAGTGCCCGGAGCATTTTTCGAATAATTATTGGATTTTGGAAAAGGCGCATAAATAGTTATCTCAATGTCAAGTTTGTTTAGTTCAATGGTTGTCTGATTAGGTCACTGAGTTTTCTTAGCACATCCAGTCCTTTTAGCGTGCGGCTTTTGCGTATACACTTTTCTTGCATCATCTGCATGCAAATGGCTTGTAGGAGTTGATCAGATGTATGTGGCAGATCCATTGGGTAGAGAAGATAGAAAAAAATGAATAAAGATCCATCGTCCGGCCACATGCATGCTATTAAACTTGTGGTGGACAGGATAGCGACACACTGCACCGTGTGTCTGCACTAGTAATAAAGAACATGTACCCTAGTTCAGTTCTTCTAATGCGATTTGACTAGCACCAATGGTCACGTGGCTTAGTATAAATTAGAATAGTTGAAGCATCTTAGTAGTGGTAAGTACTGTGGACAGGATCTCTAGAGAGCGTAATGTATTCATTTGAGCAACGAACAAGTGGGTCACTAGTTAATTCAGATACAAACATATATATAAATATAAAGTTTATATTTTACCATTAGACGAAGACAATGACTACTATAAAGCCAGTATCGGTGGAGATGTCATCTAGGTTTTTATTTGTATTTAATACCGTGACACATCAATAAATTTGATAACTTAGAAGGTTAATTATACAGAGAGACATGATGAAACTCGTTGTCACAGTTAACGACACAAAAGTTGATGTGACGAAATTCCCCACTAAAATTGACCTAGGCGCGTCCCCAACGGTGTCCAGCTCAGCTAGTTAGGAGGAGCACCTGACATACCTTACCACTAACTGACTTTTTATTTTTTTTATTTTTTTAATTGTTATTAGGCTACACGTCAGCCGGCGATTTACCAAGACCGTTGCGGACGCCCTAATAGGAAGCAGGGGGCTTGTATTATGTGCTGCACTCAATTTTTGTGCTAGGTCATCCAGTAGTAATTAAGGACCAACCATTCATGCTGAGCTCGGTTCGCTTTCTTAATTAATTACATTTTATGGATATGTATAGGTATAATGAGCAGAAATATACATATATTTCAAAAATACAACTATGAATATGTTGGAGGTAACTAGCAAACTACCTAGCAATCATCTTCTATAATCATGAGGAATTGAGGATGCTAGCATCTATACATATAAGAATTTAATTAATTAGGAGATTGTATATATGTGCATGCTGTCTTTTATATTCTCTATCTGTTATACACTATGTTTGATTTGAGGATAGGGGAGTACTCCATTCATCCCAAATTGTATGACGTTTGACTTTTTTGTCCCAAGTTTGACCACTCGTCTTATTCAAAAAATTTATGCAAATATAGTCAAATTTAAGTCATTCTTGAAGAATTTTTATTAATAAACCAAACCACGACGAAAGAAGTGATGTTTTACACAAATTTTTGAATAAGACGAGTGGTCAAACTTGGTGTTAAAAAAGTCAAACGTCTTACAATTTGGGATGGATTGAGTACGTTTTAAGCTCGTCGTCACATGCCTACTAGCTTAATTCCATGCCATTCTATATATGGTATTTATTTGTACCATGGCATATTGGCATGAATGGCCCATGCCTCCGTATCGGAAGGGATTGTTCACATGTCATTCTAAATGGAGCCATGGTGGCTTGCTTGGAGCTGTCAGTGGTGCCAAATAGGCAAAGGGAGGCAGTTTCGTCCTTTTTGTCTCAGCTGCTGTGTGTGCATTGCGTGGTCGAGTGCAAACGAATGCCGCTTTTGCTGTGTTGTGTGCATACGGGCTGAAACGGATTTTGCGTGGTTTTGCACGTTTCGCTTGCTTATATATCATTTTATTTACACCGAGAACGCAAGACCTATAAGAAAACCCTATCGACAGATTTTCAAACATGACGCATACATTTTGCGGGGAGAACGCAACATTTCAACCTTGACTAGCTTTGTTTTGTTTTCCGACAAGATTTGAACAACCTTTTTGCATTTGAATATGACTTACTAATTACTACTCCCTATGTTTGAAATTATAAGTGGTTTTGGCATTTATAAGTGCATAGTTTTAGCCTTGACTATGCACCTAGGTATAGGTCATCACTAGATATATAACAAAAAAATATATACCAAGAAATGTCAAAAATGACATATAATTTGGGATGGGAGTAGGTCAAAAGATTATTATGATTATTTCATATAATTGTTTCATATATAACGCCACAGTTTAGTTTCACACATTTGTTAGCTACCACACTTACGACACGGCATGATGCGATTGCGGCAACATATTCCAATTTTAGTGCCACACGCTGCCAAAAGCTTTGCAAGCAAATCATGCGCCGCAGTTTTGGTGCCACCCATGCAAGCATACACACAAGCCAAACAGACCCATAGTGCATCACTTGTGTTTTAGGAAATTAGGAGTAACTTATTCCAATTTTAATCCCACTTTTCACGCTGCCAAAAGCTTTTCTCTCAAATAAATCATCGCCATTTTGCTTTTTTTCAATTTGCCACCCATTGTTGTAATTCCACTACCATACACACAAGCCAAACAGACCCATAGTGCATCACTTGTGCTTTAGGAAATTAGGAGTAGCATTGTTGTAATTCCACTACCATAGGAGTACTTTTCTAGTAGTGACATAAAGAGGGATAAATTACCTGTAAACTCTAAACTCTACTACCATAATATAGGCAGGGGTGTCATTAACAAATTGTTTGATTTCTTTTGAAAGGGCAATTTATTTGATTTGATGCCAATCTAACCCTAGTCCGCATCTAGGTACCGTGAGTTCAGAGTTTAGGCTCTGTTCGGCTGGTTTATAAGCCTCTTGTTCTGATTTGTACGGCTAATTTGTTGAGAGAAAAATATTATACCATAGCTATAATGACAGCCGAACAGAGCCTTAGACTTTGCGCAAGGTGAAATACTGGGAGCACAAACAAATTATTTATTCCGTACTCCCTTATGCAAAGAAAGTGCTCATCAAAATCAAGGACAAATCTGAATCTTTACAACAACACAAACTAATGATCTACTAGTACTATTGTACTACTCCGTATTAGATTAGTACAGCAGTACTACTTGTATTTCAGAAGTTTGGATCCCAAAGATCTCAATCAAACCGAAAAAGGGGTGGGTGGCGGGTGGCGGGTGGCAACTAATCTAGAGGAACAGAATACCAGGACCAGTGCCTGCCCCCTGCCAGCTCATCCGCTGCATCAGCAGGACCAGTCCAGTAAGCTGACTTGATGTAAATTTGCTCGTGAAGACTGAAAACCAGCATGCGAATGAATTTTTACTCGTGTTGGAGTTTTCAGTTGAAGTGCCAATTCCAATTTGTTGAAGTGGTGGGCTCCTCACCTACCTCCCGTACTCCCGTCCAAGCCGGCATCCAGCTCTTCCTGCACCTTCTTTTTATGAACGTGCGGATGTGCTCTCTCCCTCCCCCACCTCTCCATCTCTGTCTCTCTACACCATAAAATCATTTATCCACAGCCTAGACCTTCTGTCTGCTGGATTACTGTGGATTTGGCAAACCGACGGCGGCCCACATCGCTGCTTGGCCCTCGGGCGGCACTGTAGCATCGACAAGCTTGTTCTTGCTGGGGTTTTTGGGGGTGAAAGATTGGGGTTTTCTTGGTCCTGGGAATCTGTCCAGGTTCGTCTCTCCGTGTGAAGTTTCTGAGGTTGGCTGGAGTCAAGATTTTCGGGTCGGCGGTCGCGAATCCTCTGCTTCTGACTCCGATTTGGGTACTCTCGTTCTTGATTCCTGGCTCTTGGGCCGGAGCTTCCGTTCTGTTCTTGCTGAAATCGAAGGGAAAGAGTTCCGTTTTGGTTGCAAGTTCTCTCTCAAGATTTGAGGCAGCATTCAGATTCCGGTTATCTGTGGTTGTGCTGTTGGTTTTGCTTCGAAGATTTGCTGTTTGCGTAGACCAAGGTGAACCGTCGGTCTCTGCCGCCGCAGATGTGCGGATTTGAGGTGGAATTGCAGTGAGAGGGTTCAAGAGTTGTTCCTGGCCCTGATTCTGGTGGTTTTGTTTCTAGTGCTCTATTTGGCAAGTTGAGGGGTTCCATTTTCGGCGCATGCAAGGGGGAAGTCACTTTCGGCCATTGGGGAACTCTCAGCCGTGAGGTTTTGAGGTGGGATTGGGATTGGGACCTGAAGGTTGAAGGAGATGCTTATGGCGTCGATGTTAGACAGTGAGACGACAAACCGAGGCAGCATGTGGGAACTGGATCAGAACCTTGATCAGCCCATGGACGAGGAAGCCAGTCAACTGAAGAACATGTACAGAGAAAAGGTATGGTTTTGATCCTTACATCCCTGAGTAGCTATCATCGTTTCTAGCATATTAGTCTCTCTGTACATCTGAAAGAAACATGGTGGTCCTTCGATGTGAAATTTTGAACATTACAGTATTCTATTGATGGTTTAGGGGACCATTTCAATATAAAAGGGTATCAGAAACTGTGTGTAATATGTGGTGTTACTGCTATTTTTCCTATTGCAGGAACTATATTCAGATTCTTGCAACCTTGCTCTGTCCATTTATCTTAAAGTGCCACTATAGCTGTGCTCTGTGCCTCTTGTACTGCTAGACCTTTGACTGTGTTCTTACTTAGTAGTAAAGAAAAGACTAACTTCATCTTTATTTTTGTTCATGCAGAAATTTTCATCAATTTTGTTACTGCGGCTTGCGTTTCAAAGCCTTGGGGTAGTATTTGGTGACTTAGGTACATCACCATTGTATGTTTTCTACAATATCTTTCCACATGGTGTTGACGAAGATGAGGATGTGATTGGAGCTCTATCTTTGATCATTTACACACTCACTCTCATCCCTCTGATGAAGTATGTTTTTGTCGTCTTGCGAGCTAATGATAATGGTCAAGGTGAGATATGGCGTCCTTGTATTTTACCCTAGTCTGTCGCCTCTTATGATTTCTTTGGTATTTGCAAGAATTATGAGTGCTCTTGTCGCATTTACACATTTGCAAAGTATGAGCTGATAGTTCGCAGAGATTTTGCAATTTTACCATCTGGTTTGGTTGGCAGAATCTCATGACAAAACATCGCTCTAGTGATTCAAAGGATTTGTATCGAGTATCAACATGGTTTAAATATGAGATGTCAGAGTGATTGCTATACATCACTTTACTAATGATGAAATCTGTAGAAGGTGAAACTCTTAGTTCATTTTAGATTTTACTTTGTGCTCAGACAAGAAATACTTCTCTTTCAGTTGGTATAGTTTGTTCCCACAAGTTTTCTGACAAACATTTCTTTTTCTGGTTATTCACAGGTGGCACATTTGCTCTTTATTCTCTGCTGTGCCGGCATGCAAAGGTCAGCACTATACCCAACCAACATAAGACAGATGAAGAATTAACAACTTATAGTCGGCAAACTTATGAGGAGAATTCACTTGCAGCAAAAGTGAAGAAATGGCTAGAGGGGCATGCATATAAAAAGAACTGTCTTCTTATTCTCGTTCTCATTGGTACCTGTACCGCCATTGGAGATGGGATCCTTACTCCTGCAATATCAGGTATTCAGAATCATAGTTTATGAGTAAATCCAATGTAACTGCGATCTAAGCCGTATTTCTATGTGTTATGCAGTTCTTTCAGCAGCAGGTGGAATAAGGGTTCAGAATCAGAATATGAGTACAGGTATTTTCCTTTTCTTTTATGTATGGTTATATCTTTGTTCATTGTCGACTCTGGTGGGCTATTTCCTTGATCTGGTGAGGAGCATAACTTACTTTACCTATGCTGATTGTTGTAATATCTTCCATTTCTGGCAGATGTGGTTGTAATCGTCGCGGTGTTCATATTAATTGGCTTATTCTGCCTGCAACACTATGGGACAGATAAAGTTGGGTGGCTCTTTGCACCATTGGTGCTCCTTTGGTTTATTCTAATTGGGAGCGTTGGGTTAGTGAACATACACAAATACAACAGTTCTGTTCTAAGAGCATATAATCCAGTCTACACCTTCCGGTATTTCAAACGAGGCAAGTCTGAGATTTGGACATCTCTTGGAGGGGTCATGCTTAGCATCACAGGTCATTGGCAATTCAACTGTAACCTTTGCATCAATTGTAAGATGAAACAGAGTTACCTATATGCCTTTTCTATCCAGGGACTGAAGCATTGTATGCTGATCTATGTCACTTCCCTGTACTGGCTATTCAGGTGAGTGTTTAACCAAAAACATTATAAATTATGATAATAGCTCAATGAATTAATCATGTCTATGTCCAGATTGCGTTCACCTTAGTGGTGTTCCCTTGCCTTCTACTGGCGTACACTGGGCAGGCTGCCTACATTATTGACCACAAGGATCATGTAGTTGATGCCTTCTACCGCTCTATTCCAGGTCCTTCTGAAATCTAAACAAATCTGATCCATCTTGTATGTAAACAGCTATACCACCATATCAAGCCCACTATGCGCAAATTGGCATAGTGCTGATCCCACAACTGCTACTGTATGTTAATGCTTTGTGCACTTCTCTATACTAAAGTTGAGATACTCTCACTGCAGAGGCCATATACTGGCCAGCCTTCATCATAGCAACTCTTGCGGCAGTAGTTGCAAGTCAAGCAACCATATCTGCTACCTACTCAATAATTAAGCAAGCTCTTGCACTGGGCTGCTTCCCCCGTGTCAATGTTGTGCATACCTCGAAGAAATTTCTGGGGCAGATTTACATCCCTGACATCAATTGGGTACTTATGATTCTTTGCATTGCTGTAACTGCTGGATTCAAGAATCAAAGCCAGATAGGAAATGCATATGGTGAGTTTTACTTCTTTTTTATTATTTCCTTGCATATTTGATTATGCAACTGAAAAGGGTGAAGTTGGTTTATGTCTATCATGCTTTCAGTACACTTGACTTGGAACACATATCAGTTTACACGTTAGTGCTAAATAGAAGGTGGCAAGTGGGACCTTGTAGGTTTTTTTTTTTTAAGCAAACACTGTAGTTTCTTTTCGAGTCATAGTACAAACGTAGATGCTCACAAACACACACGTATGCTCACACGTATGTACATACTACCTCTATGAACAGTCATCACAGACGTCTCATTGTGGATGGCTACCATTAAAAGAATAGAGCCGTTGAATCCACTATGTCAATTTTATAACATTTTTTTATGAACCTTCTGGAAGCACTTTGCATTCAATACACGGTATGAATATAATACTTATTTGAATGTAATGTTGTCTGAGCAGGCACTGCAGTGGTGATTGTTATGCTAGTTACAACATTTCTCATGGTCCCAGTGATGCTGCTGGTATGGAAGAGCCACTGGATACTTGTTGTCATCTTCCTTGTACTCTCCTTGACGGTTGAGCTCCCATACTTCACGGCCTGCATAAATAAAGTGGATCAAGGTGGCTGGGTTCCACTAGTCATCGCAATAACCTTCTTCGTCATCATGTATGTGTGGCATTTCTGCACCGTGAAGCGTTATGAATTTGAGATGCACAGCAAGGTCTCTATGGCTTGGATTCTGGGACTAGGGCCAAGCCTTGGCCTTGTCAGGGTCCCTGGGATAGGCTTTGTGTACACAGAGCTGGCAAGTGGCGTCCCTCACATCTTCTCCCATTTCATCACCAACCTCCCTGCCATCCACTCGGTTGTTGTCTTCGTTTGCGTCAAGTACCTCCCGGTATATACAGTGCCAGCCGAGGAACGGTTCATCATGAAGAGGATTGGGCCAAAGAACTACCACATGTTCCGCTGCGTCGCAAGGTATGGATACAAGGACATCCACAAGAAAGACGACAACTTTGAGAAGATGCTCCTCGACAGGCTCCTGATCTTCGTCAGACTGGAGAGCATGATGGACGGCTACTCTGACTCCGAGGACTTCACCATGATGGAGCAGAAGGCCGAGAGATCCACCAGATCGCTTCAGCTGACCGAGAAGGCTGGGGGCAACACGATGAGCTCCATCGGCGACCTGAGCTACTCGTCACAGGACTCCATTGTTCCGGCCAAGTCGCCCCTGACCGGGAACAGCCTGACAAGGTACTCAAGCCAGACATTCGGCGACGAGCTGGAGTTCCTGAACTGGTGCAAGGACGCCGGCGTCGTGCACATCCTTGGGAACACCGTCGTGCAGGCGCGCAGGGACTCGGGGATCGTGAAGAAGGTCGCCGTGAATTATGTGTATGCCTTCCTTAGGAAGCTGTGCAGAGAGAACAGTGTGATCTTCAATGTCCCACATGAAAGCCTCCTGAATGTAGGGCAGATATACTATATATGAACAATTTCTTTTATTCTATTGTTCGGTTTTGCAGTGAGAGCAGTTCTGACCTGCTGCTGCGCTGTGCTGGGCGGATGAACATTGTAGATGATGATCAGTCCTAGAGTAAAGCTTTTAGTCAGTTTTGTGAGTTTCTAGAGCACATATATTACTTACTGGTGTTGCCGTTGGTACATTTTGGATGAGGCTTGCTAATTGCTGTATCCAAATGCCATTTCTCCTTAGTAAGACAAATTGGTTTTCCCTGACCAAATGTCAACCATTGCAGCTGCATACATCATGTAACTGTCCGGCTTAGAAAAATAGTCATGTCAGATCAGCTTATCGGGAGTATGTTGATACTTCCTTACGAGAAGTAGCAATTTAAACTTTGACTGAATTTGTATAAAAAAATACTATCATTCATGATACAAAATAAATACCATTAGATTAGCCATAGAATATATTTTTATAATATATTTGTTCGGAGATATAAATATTAATATTATTCACTATAAATTTGGTTAAAATGAGAGTAGTTTGACTGGGACGATTCCTGTAATTATATTTTTCTGTGGACGGAGGGAGTATATAGTATCACAAAACGAAGAAAACGCATATATATAGGCAGTTACTGGTTTCAGACACATGTAGAAACCTGATAAATTAAGCCTCGGATAAAAAAAAAGATTTAACTAAGTTGACATCCCTAAAATCCCTCACAGAATGCAGGAAAATAAGCATATTCTTACAAAATGTTTCATCCGAACTAGGAGTACCTCAACTCCTCAGAGGCCTAGCTTACTACTGTACTGTCACCACCATTCATTCCTGCTGGTCGCGCCCACCGTCAGAATTCTGCTGGTGGCGATGCTCCGGCGGCGGCGGCGGCGCCCACATGTACGTTACAGGCTGCATGTTGACATACGTTGCAAAAGGGACGGACTTCACCGGAGCCAGGCCGTAGGCTGGCGGTGGCGGCACAATGACCGGCACGGCCGTCGTCGTCGTCGTCGCTGGCGGCACGCCGTCCCCTGCGGACCACGAGCGTTCCTCCTCCGGCACGATGTCGGTGAGGAAATCGTAGGCCTCGGTGCTGTGGATCGCGGCGGTGACGTCGCCCCGCTGCAGCGTCCGGCGCCTGGCGCCCTCGGCGTGGAGCCACGCCCGCAGCGTGAGCTCGAGGATGAACATCTCGCAGGCCCTGGCGAACACCGCGGGAGCCTCGGCCGCCACCATCTTGACGTCCGCGTCGGCCTTCATGATCTTCTTGATCCGCGCCAGCGGGAGGCTGTGGTGGGCCTTGAGCTTGACCTTGCCCGCCTCCGCCTGCTGCTCGGCCTCGGCGAGCTGCCCCGCCCAGAACGCCTGCAGCTGCTCCTCCTGGCGGTGGTGCTGCTGCTGCTGCTGGAGCTGCTGGAACGCGATCTCGTGCGTGTTCGAGAGCACCGGCGGCGGAATGGTGGCTGGGTAGGATGCAGCGCTGCCGGCCTGCAGGGAGGCTGGGAGCGGAACAAAGGCGACGCCGCCGGCTGGCGATGGAGGAGGCACTGACGCCAGTGGTACAGGTTGCTGGTCGTCGTCGTATGTTGTTAGAGCATATGAATTAGCTGGGGTTTCATCAGTGTCACCGCCATTTGTGGCACGTTCGTTTGCCTTGGCTTGTGAGGTGTGATCCATATCGTCCAAAATGCACTTCGCACTACTATCGGGCCTGTCATTTGCAGAAGATTAAACAGTTCAGTATAACTTCAAAATCTGAACTGTTATGAACTGATGATGCAAGCATTATTTCATAAAATTGAATCATATATAGGTTTGTACATTGACACAAAATGTCCCCGGTAAGAGAACACGGTGAAGAAAGAAACAAATCATATGAAGAAGTAACAACAGAGAGCCAATGCAAGTTATGTTTTGACTTTTCTTTCACCCAGCTATATTTTTGCTATTCACCTAGATATGCACTAGATACATAGTAAAAGCAATATAGTCAGTGACAGAGCGTGCCAGAAAATCATGTGGACCAATCTGAGTTGATACTCAAGACCAATAGACCATGCATACCTCTAGCTGTTTTCGAGTGCTACTTGATCAAGTGTTTCTTTTGGGCCACCACACAGCCCACGCTTAGTCATACCCCTTCAACAACATTGTTTACACATTTGTTGAGATCAGTAAAGTCGCACGGAGCAAGGGGTACGGGAGTCCAGTTTTGTCTCAATTGGACTCTGTCCCTAGTAGTGATGGTAAGCTAAGAATTTGCGGCCAACCAAGTGGAATAATGAGATAGAATTGTGCTTGAAGCAAGTAGAAAACAAGCTAGCAAACAAGGAACAATTAGTCTTCTTATCTACTCGCTCAATTCCAAATTATAAATCGCTTTAACTTTTTGGTTCATCCATTTTGCTATGTATGTAGACATATATTATATCTACTAGATGCATAATAAAATAAATATACAAAAAAGTCAAAGCAAATGTGGTCAACAAATGCTCGCCAGAAAGGAAAAAACGAAAGCACTAGGTACTAGCGAGTACTCCCTTCCATTCTAAACTACACTTAGGCTTTGTCACAACTTTGATCAGATCTATAGAAAAAAATACACCAACATCTACAGCACATTGAATTAGTTACATTAAATTCTCTGTAAAATATATATGTTTTGATACACCATTTTGAACTTGCACATTGTCTGTGTGCGACGGCAGATGCAGAAATGTTTTCATTTTCTTAAAAAATTAAACTTGCACATGTAAATGTTTTATAAGAGTTCGATCAAATTAGAAAAAAAAAAGACTCTAGGACAAAGTCATCGCAAACTATAATTTGATATATCAAACGAATTGAAAACCAACACAGAGCGCTCCGATCCGACCTTATCTTAAAATATCTAGCTTCAGGGAAACTACACTCGAAAAAGAGGCATCAATGCAACTCGCCAAAAGAAAAGAAGGAGGCGTCCGCCATGGCCTCGATCGAGCGAGCATGAACGACGACGACGACGACGACCAAACACAGAAAGCTGACCCCCCGGGTGATCCATCAAACAGAAACAGGTCCGATCATGCGATCGCATCTACCAGATGCACAGGGTGCACTGTACACTTCCCATCTCGCTCTGCTATCAGGCGTTGGCGATCTGTTGTTGAACTGTACGTACGTACCTCGCGGAGGAGGGAGGCCGATGCCCGGTTGGGTTGATGGGCACGCATGCAACACGCGCGACACCTGTCGAGGCGGAGGAGACCTACGACGGCGGCGCGGAGACTGGGGGAAGAGGAAGACCTCACCTCACCGCGCACGCCGCGCGTGTCTTTTTCTATGGTTGTAGGGATCCAAGGCTCGGCTGGCAGATGGGCCCGGGCGGCAGTTGTGGTAAAAAAAACCGTAGTCCATACTAGTGCAGTAGTAGCAAGTTTAGTATGATCCAAACGGATGGAAGCATGTATCGACTTCCAAATTCGAAACAGAAGAGGAGGGAATGAAATCCTCATCCATATGGAATTGGATTCATTTTAATAATCAATAATTTAGACATGGTTGTCTATAGAATATATTTGTATATTATTGTTAGACATAAGAGAGATACTTATGCGTTGCATTTCTACCGTAGGGGAGCGAGTTGAAGAGTGTATTATAAATTGCAAAATAGAAACATAGCACGGTGATCATATAGAATCAATTTTCATTATTTACCATCCTATGAATTTGAAATAGACTTATATGTGAACTTTAGAAAGTTGTGGAATGTCAAATTCCAAGTCAAATAGCTTAGTTTATTAAATAGATTTCAATTCCTCTTTTTAGGCCTTGAGTTAATCTCCAGTCCAATGAGATTGGAGGGGATTTTTGTTTTGAGTACTCCCTCCGGTTCTCTAAAGCAAGTCGTTTTGGACATCGACACGGTCTTTAAAAAACGACTTTGATTGCAACTTTTTGCTATAAAATATTTATAAAATATAGTCAATATATATTTTTATGAAACTACATTTCGAGATGAATCTACTTATATCACTTTCATATTTTCAAACTCAACCCAAAAGAAATTATTTGTAGTCAAAGTTTAAAATGTTTGACTTAAGACAACCTCAAAACGACTTGCTTTAGAGAGCCGGAGGGAGTATTAACCAAACAAGCCATGAGTATGTTGATCTTACTGGGGTATCTCATGCCATGTGTGATGTGTCGCCTGTTCCGATGTCCTTTAGATGAGTGATGCCCTTTAGGCGAGTGTTTGGGACTAACTCATTGAAGAAAACATAGTTTAATTAAATTCCTAAAACTCCAAGCCAAACATCTCAACCCACTCTTGTCGAACGAATCCATGAATTTCAAGGGCTAGATTCATTATTGTTTTGGTGGAACTTCTCAAGGGGAAGTTCGCAAATCCACGTTTCAAACATTTTTTTTATCAAGTTGTGAAATTGCCGTTCATTGCTAGTCACTATCCACCACAATATTATCTCATGGAATTTAGGGGTGTCAAAACAGTTTAGAGCTAGCGCTTGCTCATATTATTCTCGTCGTTTTCGAATCAGCATGAATTACAAGCGAGCCAAACTTAAAGCCCAGCTAAATAGCTAATAGCACTTCTAAACAACACACTTGATGACCCAAACTCAGTTTGGGACATACTCGAAGCAAACTCGACTTGAGATGTTAAGAAGTAAACCATTGACCTTTTAAAAGAATCCTATATGCATGATTTATCTCGTCTTTCAGTAAAACTTACAGTACTATGCATGATTTCTATCGAATTTCTGCGTTGAGCTCCTCGCCAAAAAAAAAACGTTGAGCAGAGGCGAAAATGTCACTTCTCGGCCCGTTGACAGCCCAGTGGCTAGTGACAGCCTGGCAGGGCCACTCGACCAGTACATTTATTTTGGGCCCTGTGGAGCCCAGACATTTTTGGCCCATCTGAAAGATGAGTTCCTCGCTTTATTAGCCCTCAAAAATCTCCATCCCCATTAGAAAAAGCGACAGAAAAGGTTTTCTGATAAAGAAAAACGACAGAAAAGGTGCCAATAAACTACGAGGATGCCGCTTTATCTCGTCTCCTCTCCCGCCGCCGCCAAGCTCGCCGCAGGAGGCCCACACGCACCCCCGCACCGGCGGCCCCAGCTCCTCTTCCGTGCTCCCCACCGCCCCGTACTCCTTCTCTCCCTCTGCTGTTTTTCAGCTTCCTTCTTTCTACCTATTGATTGGTGAGCTGGCCCAGCTTGGTTTCTTACAGAGCCGCCGCGCCCCCCTGCTGTCTTCGGCCGCTGAGCACCCGGCAGAGCGCGCCATGGCTGCTGCGGAGACTGGAGCGTCGACGGAGACGGATTCGAGGCTCAGAGGTGGGTGCTTATGCCTTCGGGTTTAGTGGTTTGGCACTGCTACCTTGGTGGATAGCTGGATTTGTGTAGAAGTAGAAAAATTCAGTTCTCTCTTCAGTAGTTTAGAGGGAATGTGGCGATCACTAGGAATATGCTTTTCCTGACATCCAACCAAATGTGTTTGCACGATGCTGCTGGTTTGGGTCGCTGTTGCACTTGCTGCAGTTTATTTCCCTCTGAAAGATCGAGTGGCGATCGGGCATGAGCTTAGTTTGATTAGGCCTAAGTGTTATATGTTTGGGTCTTTGGGATCACTCCAACCCTTCCCAGGCCTTAATGTGCAAGCGTTTGGAAATGATTCAGTACTATGGTTCTAGCAGTTACAAGTTCAGCTTGTTGGGAAGTTTTACCTGCTATTTTAAAAATTCAGCTGGCAATCTAGGTGGTAACCAGACAAGACAGATTATAGATGTAGGTTATATAATCTCATAAGCTGCCTTGGGGGTAGATTATCAGATTATATAATCTACCAACCTAGGGGTTGCCAAACAGGGCCTTAGTCATGACACAATCTATGTGTGATTTTCTTCCTTAATTAAGAGCATCCGGCAATCAGAGTTCTGTTCTGTTTGTATAGAACCTGTGTGCTGAAGACCATCAGAATGTCAAATGTCATATAGAGTTTTGCTGCTCCAAGGTCTCAATGTTTATGCAGCGCCATTACTCATTCAGGATTAAATGGCCCCTTGGTGGTGCAGTCTAAAGTTCAAGCACATATATGCAAACTTGAATATTCATCACTCTATGCTGAACATGATAGTCAATCACTTTGTATTCATGATATCCTTTTGTTCTTGTTGTTTGAGTTCCATCCAGAAGTCTGTTAGATATGATTGGTTTGGCGCCTTGTGTAAATTTTTATCTTATTAAGGATTCTAGTGTTTTTCACTTTGAGAAATAGATTCAGATCCATTACATACTTACGTTCCATAAAAATTTATGTACTCTCTCCCACTTACCTCATTTGTAAATCAACAGATAAATTTTGTATTATGGATTAGTAATCAATTCTGAAAAAAACTATGGACTAAATATAAGTTTCTACATCTACAGGAGTGAAGCAAGCACTGATATCGTTGTCAGATAAAACAGACCTGGCTAATCTTGGAAATGGTCTTCAGCATTTGGGGTAACCCTTTGATCTTCTGGTCATTTAATGCGCCGTTACTTTGAATTGTATAATCCACAATCGGTTGCATGTTTTAGCTCATGTTAGATTTGTTGGCTGCAAGTATTTTTGTGTTTTATTTATTATTGTGTCTATAATCATTAAGGGCAGACCCAGTGCCGGAGGCTCCCACATGAGTGGGGTCTGGGGAAGGGAAAAACCGAGGCAAGCCTTCCGCCCGTAAATCTGTAGAGAGGTTGCTTCGAATCCATGACCTGGTCACTCAGTGAGACAGCTCTCACCACTGCACCAGGCCTGCCCTTCTTTGTGTCTATAATCATTCATCATGATAAATTATTGCGAAGTAATCCCTAACTTATCTAAACCCTTTCACAAAGTATTTTTCCTTATGATAGTTTCCCTCTCCACGTGCATGTTTTTCATTGGTTAACAGTTCATATATGGATATTGCATTTAGTAAAATATTTAGCAAAGTATGGGTTTATATGAGATTAACCATGGATTCAGATTTGTCTTTATGTTGATATATTTTTTTTTATTATACTCATATGAAGATTTTGTTCCTGTAGGTTTTCTATTATTTCCACCGGTGGCACGGCATCAAGTTTGGAAGCATCTGGAGTTAATGTTACAGAAGTTGAAGAAATTACACACTTTCCTGAAATGGTAAAGCCTAATTCATGCTAATTTTGCAGCATTTTTGAAAATATATATTTATTACAAACATTGTTAGCAGTTATCACAGTCAGTTTAGTGATGCCTGAACAAAGTTTGTTGGAAATTTTGCAAAATGCATTACTTGTAATGGTTCTTAAAACATGTAATAGTTGCAACTCTTTTACTCTTGCTATTTTTCAAAAGTATATCAAGAATCAAATGTAACAATTGTCCTGTATCATTCCAAATCTTCTCTTATGTGTCTCCTCAATTCTCAAAGTGGTTGTCTGAATAATTGGTCAGAATACTGCATAATTCCAACTTTGTAATTCCATGCTTACTAGATGTTCCTGGTCATTTGAATCTAACCTTTTCCCTTTCACTGATTATTTAAAACAGAAAAAACGTGTTTTTGAATTGACTATCATGCTGAGTGCTTTTAGTAACAGTATAAATTGCACATTTCCATATCCACTAACCCTTTGGGTCATTTCAGCTTGATGGGAGAGTAAAAACATTGCACCCCAGTATACATGGTGGTATTCTTGCGCGAAGAGACCAGGAGCATCATCTGAAAGCACTGAAAGAACATGGCATTGGCGAGTTCTTAAGTTCATTATGCAATCTTCTATTAAATATTGTAATAATGTTATGACATCGTGTTCGAGAAAAACAATGTTATGACATGTCAAGTTTCATGCGATGAGGTGAAAATCATTGAAGGGTGTTATTGTAAGTTGACTAGGACCTTTTCTTTGTTCACAGGGACATTCGATGTGGTTGTAGTCAATTTGTACCCATTCTATGATAAGGTCACCACAGGTGCAATATCTTTTGAGGATGGCATTGAAAATATTGATATTGGTGGGCCTACACTGATCCGAGCTGCTGCCAAGGTAGCTGTATTGGAATATTAGTGATTTGAAATACTTAATAGGAGTACTTACAAAGGAATGCACTGGATTCATGCAAAGTTGATTTCATTTTACAATGTATCATGCATGCTAATACATTATTTGTTGATTTTCCACTCATTTATGCATGCCAAATTTATGTAGTTGTAATACACTTTGATAAGAATAGCTGTAGGATTTCAGTTTGCTTACTTTGTGATCCATTTCTTATGACTGACAGAATCATAAGGACGTTCTTGTTGTTGTCGATCATAAAGATTATCCTGCTCTATTGGAATATCTAGAAAGGAAACAAGATGACCCTGATTTCCGCAGGACACTTGCATGGAAAGCTTTCCAACATGTTGCTTCTTACGATTCAGCTGTCTCAGAGTGGTTGTGGAAGCAATCAAATAAAGGTATTGGCACTTTTTTTTGGCAAATGTGATGCTTGTCTAATAGTTTTGTCAGCCAGTTTTCATATATGACAGTATCATGATCTTGTGCAGCAGATACATTTCCTCCCAGTTTTACTGTGCCCCTCACAGTGAAGTCTACACTTCGTTATGGTGAAAATCCTCATCAAAAGGCTGCCTTCTATGGTGACAAGAGTCTTTCTCTAGTAAATGCTGGCGGTATAGCAACAGCAATTCAACACCATGGAAAGGTAAGATAAGCAGATTTCCTTTCTAGTTATTACTACTTCACTAAAATGGGACACAAAATCATTTTAACTCAATGATTTGTATCTATGTTTTGCTTCCATGGTCTTTTGTAACTTCGTTATTCCTTTTATTGGGTACATATAAGCAGATAACTCGTTTCTAGATATTCCCAATCTTTGAGAGTACCATGCCAGTACAGATGTTTATTTTCAGGGGTTTGCAACTTTACATACGTCACCTTCTTATACAGGAATTGTCCTATAACAATTATTTGGATGCGGATGCTGCATGGAACTGTGTCTCAGAGTTTGAGAGCCCGACTTGTGTTGTGGTTAAGCACACAAATCCGTGTGGCGTAGCATCTCGACCAGACATCCTTGAAGCATACAGGTTGGCTGTGAAAGGAGACCCTGTCAGCGCATTTGGCGGCATAGTTGCCTTCAATATGACGATCGATGAGGTATTTTGGTGTCAACCCAGCACCATGTTCCTACACAAGCTGCAGATCTTCCAACGCTGTCCACTATGCATAATGCATTATTGTTGACACATTGACTTACTTACATGTTTAGGATCTTGCGAGGGAAATCCGTGAGTTCAGGAGCCCCACTGACGGCGAGACAAGGATGTTCTACGAGATTGTGGTCGCGCCTGGGTACACAGAGAAGGGCCTGGAGGTCCTGAAAGGGAAATCCAAGACGCTGAGGATACTGGAGGCGAAGAGGAGCGGGAAAGGAATGCTGTCGCTGCGACAGGTGACTGGCGGCTGGTTGGCTCAAGAGTCGGACGATCTGAGCCCGGAAGACATCACCTTCACAAAAATGTCAGAGAGGACTCCTGGGTACAGTGAGCTTTCGGACGCAAAATTCGCGTGCCTCTGCGTCAAGCACGTCAAGAGCAACGCCATTGTGATCGCCAAGGTCAGTAGTGCACGCATGCATACCTTTTAGGTTATGTGGGGAGCGCGATATAGCTGGCTGTACAGTCTATTGATTTTGTGCCTGATGATGGCTGGTCTCTGCAGAACAATTGCATGCTGGGCATGGGCAGTGGCCAACCGAACCGGCGGGAGAGCCTGAGGATTGCTTTCAAGAAGGCAGGGGAGGAGGCCAAGGGAGCTGCTTTGGCCAGCGATGCCTTCTTCCCGTTTGGTAAGGGAAAAAGAAACCAAAAAGTGCTGGCTTCAAAATTGGAATTGAAGCATTTATCGAGTACTAGTTGATTTCGATCAATTTTTATTCTTGCTCCTGAACCGTACGTAGAAGCAAGCAAGCACATGGTTCTGGATGCAACAAAGAACACTAAAAACAGCGTTTGTTATTTACTCCTATTAGCTAATTAATGTGTTGTTGAACCGGAATGATGATGCAGCTTGGAACGATGCGGTGGAGGAGGCGTGCCAGAGCGGCATCGCTGTGATCGCGGAGCCCGGCGGCAGCATCCGGGACCAGGACGCCGTGGACTGCTGCAACAAGTACGGGGTGGCCCTCGTCTTCACCGGCGTCCGGCACTTCAGACACTGAAGGTCACTGAAGAAGCCGCTGCCGCCGACTCGGCGAAGCAGCGTAGACGGATGGAAGGAATCTACCTCGACCTGGGCTGATGGGTTGGTAAGGAATCTGCTATTCTGATGTTAATCTGTGTGGGTTTAGTTGAAAACATGATAACGAATGAAGCTAAACCCCAAAAGAGATGGTAATGCTGAAGCAACCAAAGGTCTTCTTTTTTCAGAGCATGGATGGATGGGTTGTATACCTCAGCATGCCAAGAGGTTGAGCTGGAAAACTTTGCAGTGAATGAATGAATTGAGTGATGGAAACGTTCGCTGACTGACGTTGGAAACGTACAATCTGTTACTCGGAACATTGCAAGGCTACGACATGCCCTGTTATTATTGCTGTTACATTACATGACATCACCTTTACAACTGATGGTTGTGCAGGTGCAAGCAAGCACGTCGACGTACGGTATTACTACTACATTTCTGCCAAGCCAAGGGTATTTCACTTCATTTCACCAGCTTAGCATGCCTTCTGGCACCTGCAGTAGCGGAGGTGGCAGTAGCCGGCGGTCCACCCGCCCTCCTCCTTGACGCACTCGTTGCTGCAGAGGCGGTCGGAGATGCAGGGGAACGAGCGGTGCTGGCTCTTGCCCATGCACACCCGGGCCTCCGCCACCATCCTCCCGCCGCCGCCGCCGCCATTGCCGTCGTCTGTGAATGAAGTAAGAATTGACGAGGCAGATCGACGAAAGAAAAAATACATTAAGCCAACAAATTATTATGTTATTTTTATTACGTGAGAGCAGGAGCAGCGTCACGAGGAGCGCGCACACGGTCGCCCTGGACTTGAGCTCCATCGGCGGCGGCGACGACTGTGGATTGGATTAGTTACGGGCGGGAGACGAGTACGTCTTGATTACTATCTATCAGATGTTGAGCACGGGTCGCAGGTGATCGATCGATGGATCGATGACAGTGAGAGTGGAGGTGTGAGCCAGGAGAGGAGGTACTTATAGTCACGTGGCAGCGGCACGTGGCGGCTCGGCCCCTGCCCCCTGCTGCCACGCCGCTACCGCCATGGGCCAACGGTGCTCGTCGACGTCAAGCCCCTCCCGTGCATGCCAGACAGGCAACGGATACACAGGTGGTGTTTGGATGGACTCCTAACCTAAATTTTAGTCATTGTTCTATTAAATATTTAGATACATGTATATAGTGTTAAATATACACTAATTACGAAACTAATTTCATAGTTTGCGACTAATTTACGAGACGAATCTTTTAAGCCTAATTAGGTCATTTTGATAATGTTTTACTACAGTAAATATGTGCTAATGACGAATTAATTAGGTTTAAAAAATTTGTCTAGTAGAGTCCTGACGGATTATGTAATTTATTTTTTTATTAGTATCAAATATTTCATGCAACGTTCTTCCGACACACCTCCTAAATTTTAGTCGCCGAATCAAACAGCACCTTAGAATTAGCTGCTGCATGACTGGCGCCGTGTCGTCGACACTACTTACTGCACAAACTCGGCAAGTCGGCAGTGGCACGCGTCCGGCACTACTGATGACTACTGAGTGATGATGCGCCGCTCTGTTTTACCCTGACCTGACGCGCATGCAGCCCGTGCGGGTAGCGATTTTTTTTAATTTTAACACTTTTTTAAATTAATTTTAAATTTAATATTTTTTTAAAACTAACATTTTAGTCGCGCATATTTTTCTGGCGCAGCAAAACGTCTATGCTACGTTATGCATGGGCACAACAAAAGAGATGACGTGACGACGACCAAAACGAGGCAGGATCGCGCCACCGATCATAGCGTGGCAGAGCCCACCACGCCCCGATGATGATGACTGCAGGGCACCGCGCGGGCAAAGTCGATGGAGTGGACATGCCTACTGCACGAGCTGACACCTTTCTGCAGCGTGCACAGTGTCACCTCAGAGCATCGGGTGCAACATCAGCCTGACAGGATGGGGTGAGCAGTAGCGTGTGGGCTGAGTTAGGGCATCGTCGGCACGTGTCTCCTGCACAAGTGCGGCGCGCTGCTGCGCGACTCGAAAGGGACACGTCACATGACCGACAAGAATGGCACCGCTCGATTCCCGCGCACGAAAAGCCGCCCCGGAGCCACGGCCCAGCCGGGGGTCACGTGTGACACGCCGGGGGGCTAGACGATATGTTATGTGTATAAACTAATATACTGAGAAATATCTTATATCAAAGTTATCGATTTCACTATTACCTTAATTTTTTTCCGTCCTCCGCCACTGGACGATAGACTAATAGATTTCTCTAGTGAGGCTACACACACGGCTGTTAAATTAGACTCGCAAACACCCAAAAATATATGCACGCCAGGATTTAGAACTCTGGCGAGTGAAGTGAAGGTAGAATTTGAACATACAGGCTCACAAGGTGTAGAATTAGATTGAGAGAGAGTGTAAGCCTGTTTTGCTAGAGTATCCGCCGTTCTATTAAGGGTCCTGCTAATCTTGTAGATGGTTGAGCCCCGGATTTGTGAGTGATTGACAAACAGCTGGGTGAAGAATTTAATCCTCCAATCTGGAGGATTGGTACGGTCTGAAGGACTCGGTGCTTGTAGACACGAATGTTACGTGGCTCTCTTGCGGAAAGAAGAATGAGCCGGAAGGACAGCAGCATGGGCTGTCGTGATGAGTCAGTGAATCATCCCGACGCGTGTGCGTGTCCAAAAACCTGCTAAACTAATCAATATACGTACGCTCACGTGTCCCTGAGTCAGCACAGAGACGCGTCGAGAAGACACGAGCGACGGGTACAGATGGATCAATTTAGGACACGGTCACGACTCACGCACAGTGCCGTCTGGTTCCACTTCACCGCCGTGTCACACGTGACCCCCGGCTGGGCCGTGGCTCCGGGCCGGCTTTTCATGCGCGGGAATTGAGCGGTGCCATTGTTGTCGGTGACGTGACGTGTCCCCTTTCTGGAGTCACCTTTCCGCGGGGTGCAGGAGACGGCACTGTACACGCCGGGGAAAGGTGTCAGCGCGTGCCCACTCCATCCACCTTTGTCCGCGCGGTCTCACATCATCGGGCGTCGTGGGCTCTGCGGTTTTGATCGGTGGCGTGGCAGACCTTCTCATACCATGTATTAGTGTTTCGATTGTCGTTGTGTCATCTCTCTCGTTACGTCATCATGCATGACGTGACACAGGCGTTTTATCGTGACATGAAATAAACGCAACTAAAAATATTAGTTTTAGAAAAAAATTAAACAGTGTTAGATTTAAAATTAATTTAAAAAAGTGTTAAAATTAAAAAAAAATCCGGGCAGCCACGTGCACATCACGGCCGCCGGAGCTCGCCACGCGGCACCGCTCTTGCATGCGCCGTCCACCGCACGCCGAGCGACCGCGCCTATAAATCTGCGGGCCAGCAGCAGGCAGGTCAGCCAGCATCTGGCATGTATCGCCTGCTTTGCACGAACACGCTCATCTACCCATCAACCAAGCAGCCGCCGACCGACAGCCAGCATGTGGACGATGAGGAAGGTGGCGACGCAGGTGGCCGTCCTCCTGCTGCTCCTCATCGTCGTTGCGCGTACGTCGTCATCAGCCTAGCTACAACATTATCATATATAAACGCACATGTTTATATATATATATAATAATTATTCATCTGAATTCGAGTGGACAACATCTATATACTCTTTTTATATAGTTATTAATCATCTGAAAATTAATTATGCGTGCGTGCAGAGGAGGCGGCGGTGCCGTTGGCGGAGGCGCGCGTGTGCCGGCGCCGGAGCGCGGGCTTCAAGGGGGTCTGCATGTCGGACCACAACTGCGCGCAGGTGTGCTTGCAGGAGGGCTGGGGCGGCGGCAACTGCGACGGCATCATGCGCCAGTGCAAGTGCATCAGGCAGTGCTAGCTCCATCTAGCTACCGGCCGGCTTTAAGCTACGCTAGGCGGCCCTGATGACGATCGACATCGCGGTCGCTAAATATATATGTAGCTACATGCAATGTGTAATAACCTGTATGCATGCATACATGGGTACATAGCTAGTACATGTACGCGCCGAGCTGTACGTGGACGCGGCAGCACGGGCATCGTACGTCCTGTGTCGTTATAAGTATCCTCAAAGCTGCGTCCACCCATGTGCCACTCTTTGATGGTGATGACATCGTGACAATAAAACATGCATGCAGTATTATATCTCTTTCTTCTATATATATACACACCCTAAAAGAAAACTAGGTAAATTTTACTAGAGGACAGACCGGCACACACCGCATGCCAAACCGATCAATTTGGTCGGTACCATTACAAATTTGTGGTTATTTACCCTCCACCGCCTGAGATGCTAAGCGGCGTCAATCCCGGCAGGATGCGGAGCCAGGACCCGGAGGCGGGTGGCTCAAACGAAACCTCATATCGAAGCACCCTGAGGTCGTTCATGGCGGCATATCGCACAGGGAGACAATGAATCCCTATCGATAAAGTGCTGCCCTGACAACATCCAACGATGACCGACGGTATGAGTGCTGCCCTGACAAGATCCGACGATGATCGACGGTAGGAAGTGGAGGGAAGCGCCCGAGAGGGGTGGCGCGGTGCTCCGTGTAAAGGTTGGGCCACGGGCCTTCGTCAGTGGCACACTCGGGGGCGAAGCTAGGCTTTGTCGTCGGCCGGGGTCAGCTGACCCCAATAAATTTGCGCAAACTTAGTGGTACTTATTGTTTTGTACAGTTATCCATAGGCAAAGACCCCAGTGTATATTAGTACTGACCCCGGCGCCACTTTTGTCTGGCTTCGCCACAGGGCACAGGGCACCTCGCTTGTGGCCGCGCTCGGCAGGGATAGCTCTCGAAGGGGGCGGGGCGGCGCTAGTAGGACGAGAGAGTGGAGAGCGACGTGCCCACATGTCGTTGCGTTTTCGCGAGCAAGAGCAGAAAAATTAAACGTGCGGAGTGGGGGAACGGGAGCGGCGAGCACTCCAAAGGGGAAGGCATGCCAAAGTGGATTTCCGACATGCCCCTGTGGCCGCCGGGCCTATCCTGGACATAGGAGCGCACGGAGATTCGTGCACCTCGAGGGGGGAGGGAGTGGGTGGGGATGGCTCGAGTTGCCGAACGGGGGCAGCGGCGGCCGACAAGGCCGGAGTTAGGCCGGCGGCAAACGACGCCGGAGCCAGGGTGGTGGCGGCGGAAGACGGCGCCGGAGGCCGAGGGAGAACAGGGGCGGCGGAGGTCGTGGTGGGCTTCGGGCGGTGCGCGGTCTCCGGCGAGAGCATGGCGCCAATGAGGACGAGGCACAGCAGCCGCGAGCTCGTCGTGTGAGTGTGCGATGGGGAGGGGCTGAGGCCTAGGAGAGAGGACGCCGGTGGTCGAAACGGCGGTTATTTTCCGCCTACATCCGGGTGGCGAAGCGGCCGTGGTCCTCGGCATCCCGGCGATGAGGGATCACCTCCATCGTCTGGCTGGGCCAGGTCATCATTGGCCCGACGCAACTCCACCGCCTCATTGGCCCGACGCAACTCCGCCGCGTTTATAAGGCAGACTTTGATTTGGCACATTTTGCTAGGTCTCACCTTGAGTCCTTGACCATTCATTCTCTCTTATATCATGTTGCTTTTGGACTATGAAATTATATGACCATAGAAAGTATGTTTGATTGCAAATGGTAGTAATACATTGTAACAAAAAAACTACAAGTTATTGATGATATTATATATATATAAAAGGTTAGGCTCTGCTTGATGAATTATTATAACCAAAATCTTCATTATCATAATCCCATTATCCAGACAAGACATGGTTTTGGGATATTGTGGGTGCTAAAATGTGGGGATATGACCCCCGGTATCCACAAGATAAGACATGGGCCGCACCATCAGAGGTGGCTCAACCCACAAGATCAAGCCGTGCACAGCATTGGTCGATGTGCACCGCAAAATATTGTATAGTACCAAATAGGATATTTTTCTTATAACCATACCCCTCCAGAGAATATAAGGAGACGCTGGGGTCCCCTAGACGACATCTAGAAACATCTCATATTCAATACAATACACCAAAGACACAGGACATAGGGTATTACGTCGATCAGACGGTCCGAATCTATCTAAATCGTTGTCTCTGCGCCTTGTGTCACCATCCGGTTTCTGATTACGCGCACCTCCACCGACAAATATACCATCGTGGGATACCCCTCGGTGGACTGCCGAGCATCTTTTGTCGACAGTTGGCGCGCCAGGTAGGTGATAAGGGTCGGAGATCACCAACAGCAAGATACCGATGGAAACCACAAGATAACTTGCTGCAAACAGCGAAGGATAACTAGCTTTATACCTGCCAAGGTTGGATGCGACCAAGCGACGAGGAGAGAGGCACTGAAACCGCGAAGACTTCGACTCGATCTCCGAACGACCGTAGAACCACAACCGGAGCTAATCCACACAAGGCGGGCAGCCGTGCTGAAACCCGGAAAGCACGAACTAGTGAATCCTAGAGGAATCTCTTCACAAGTCCAGGAAGAATAAGGAAGAACAAGGGTTTGAGTAAGCACTCAGCAGCTCGGCTGCAATATTACTTGAATTATCAAATCATAAAAAAAAGTCATTTTCTAGTAGCCTAGAGGTAAAATTTATACTAGGAGAAGTCTCTAAGATAGATGTGAACTGAAGAAGCCATGTTGGGAGGTGGAAGATCAACGCACGAGGTGGTCTTCAGTTTCCGCGTGTCTTCTGGGCTTCTGGGCAGTCTTTAATGTTTTGGTCATAACTCCTTCCTGGAAAGTCCAAATGACGAACCGTTGGATGCGTTGGAAAGCTAACTTCATCATCTTTCCAACCATGTATGCTATGCACCACGAATTATTGTAGAATGGTATAGTTTTTGCATGGGATCTTTAGCTTCATGCGGACTATTGAGCTTCGGAGCAGTCTTCACTAAAACTGGTCGGACACCACGCTGGACACTCCAAACTGGTCGGCATGATAGCATTGGAAACTAGGCTTCAAGATCTCTCCAACAAGTACTCATTCACCTTCATAGCCTTTGGGAGACAAAAGATATGACTGTTTCTTCTGGATGGTTCTGTCATGCTGGGTTGACTCGAACGTAGCTCTTCTCTCTGATCCATCCTTGATGTATCCTTGTCTTCCTTCTCGGAGAACCTGAGTAATAACAACATGCATGACTTAGGTAGCTCAAAATTACCATCAATGTTTAATTGAAACTCACAAAGTAGTGCGTGCACCTCTTGCTGTATCTTTTGGGCGCGGCTACGGGTGATTAGTCCAGTAAGGACTTGGAGTGGTGTCTCAGCTGGTGAGGTGGTCGGAGAGGTTGCCGAGGTCGGTGAAGTGGTCGGAGAGGTCGCCGAGGTGGTCGGAGAGATCGCCGAGGTCGGTGAAGTGGTCGGAGAGGTCACCGAGGTGGTCGGAGAGATCACCGAGGTGGTCGGAGAGATCGCCGAGGTGGTCGGAGAGGTCGCCGAGGTCCCCGACGCTGATGTGGTCACATCATCCTCCCCCCTTGAAAAAGAGTCGTCCTCGACTCTTCCAATCCAAAGAATGGAGATAGGTCGGCCACATTAAAACTGGTACTCACACCATAAGTACTAGGTAGATCAATTTCATAAGCGTTGTCGTTGATCTTGCATAGCACTTTGAATGGGCCATCAGCTCGGGCTTGCAACTTGTTTTTGCATTGTTCAGGAAACCTGTCTTTGCGTAGATGCACCCAAACCAAGTCTCCTGGTTCAAATAACACCTTCCTTCGACCTTTATTGGCGTGCTTCTCATACATCCTTATCATCTTTTCAATGTTTGTCCGAGCTCTATCATGAAGGTTCTTGACAAACTCGGCTCGCTTACTTGCATCGAAGTTTACATGTTCCTGCATAGGTAAAGGCAAAAGATCTATGGGAGCAGTGGGTTTAAACCCATATACAATTTCAAATGGACAAAATTTAGTGGTCGAGTGTACTGCCCTGCTGTATGCAAATTCGACATGTGGCAAACTTTCTTCCCAAAGTTTCAAGTTCTTCTTGAGGATAGCTCGTAGTAGCATTGATAGAGTATGGTTCACAACTTCAGTTTGTCCATCCGTTTGTGGATGACACGTCATAGAGAACATCAATCGTGTTCCAAGTTTGCCCCACAAAGTTTTCCAAAAATAACTCAAAAATTTAGTGTCACGATCAGAAACAATGGTTTGTGGCACTCCATGTAGTCGTACAATTTCTTTGAAAAACAATTCAGCAATATGTGAAGCATCATCGCTCTTGTGGCATGGAATAAAATGTGCCATTTTGCTAAAATGATCAACCACAATAAAGATGGAATCCCTTCCCCGCTTGGTTCGAGGTAAACCAAGAACAAAATCCATGGAGATATCTTCCCAAGGCACACTAGGGATAGGCAGAGGAGTGTGTTATCCATGAGGATTCACACGGGACTTAGCTTTGTGGCATGATTCACATCGAAGAACATGTCTCTCCACATCTCTTCTCATCTTGGGCCAAAAGAAGTGATCGGTAAGGACTTGTTCTGTCTTCTTAGCACCGAAATGTCCCATGAGTCCTCCCGCGTG